CTCCCTTCGCGAAATGTAATGATGCGATTAGAAATGAAATGGTGATTGTTTTTTTTTTTATGTGTGTCAAATAATTATGTGGCGGCAACTCGGATCTTTCACGCTTATCGGCCTAATCTGTTGTGTAAATTTGGCAAGGTTGTTCTCTACTCTGAAAGGACTGCTCAACAGATCTCGCCAGACAACGACGGACTTCATTAATCAACGGCAGATTCAAAATAACAGTTCAGGCTATCTCAAAATACATTAATTGCTTCAGAAATTTTAAAGATTTGCAAACAATGAATATCTCTGGCTAGATGACTGGAAGACGAGGGTCTGAAGTCTTCTATGTGTTATCATACGCAGTTTGTTTGGCGTTGTTGGCCCATCGTTGAGAGGAACGCAGTCGAATTTTGACAGTTATGGGAAAACTAGAAGTGCCATTTTTGAATTTAGCTTTTTCTTCACTAACTGTATGATATCTAAGATCATCAGTGACTACCACTGGAAAAAAAACCAAGAACAAACTTCTCTGTTGAAATTTTCTTTTGTAAATTCCAGTGAATTCATCATAGCATTAGCTGCTGCAAGACGAATGTGATTTGAGGGTTCATCTTTTCGCAATCCATGTACAATGGCTGTTAGAATGAGATTAGCCTGTGATTCTAGCTTTGTCCCAGAAATATCTTGACAAATATAGCCTAATGCCTGAAATCGCAACAATGACAATTATTATTGGGGAAAAACTTTTTGAAAACCCTTCAAGAAATGAAAAAAAAAAACTTTTTTCCAAAACTTTCTGGGATTGGAATTTCAAATCGGAAATCGAAAACCCCACATCAAAGATGTATAATTCGAGATTCGCCAATTTGAATTTAAAATCGGAATCTTTTTATCGGTAAAAAAGCCAAATTTGGCTTTTTTTCACCCCAAATTCCAATTTTAATTACCGATTCTAAGTTCCTGTTTGCACGAAAACAATCCTTTCTGAAAGGCGAAATCGTAAAATCGATTTTAAATGATATTGCAAAAGCAAGTTTTCCCTTTCATCTTAATTTCTCGAACAGGAAAAAAAATTACAAAAATATACCTCCAAGGAAGACTCTCGTAAAACTTCATTGTTACTCGATATCACATTATTTTTCAAATGATCTATGATATTCGGCCATAACTGAAAATCGCAAAAAATTTTCATGCAAAACAAAAATTCGTTGCAAAATCCAAA